CAATAATTTTTGAGACAATTAATCGCCCAGCAAAATTTTTTTATCGTGACAGGCCTACGTCAAAAGACATTATACAGACAGGCTCTGGTATCATGGCTACCCAGCAACGGAGCTCAAAAATGTGGGATCATTTTAAGAAAATGAAAGAGAAACCTGTGCAATATCTGCAGAGCAGAACTTACCTTACACAGCAATTATTTTTAGTTAGCATATAGCTAAAATCTAACCATGGTTATACAATAGCAGCTGCATTCTGACGTGATAAGCTGTAAGTTTTATATTCAATTAACGTATGATTCGATTAGTCGACTAATCGAATAAATAATTGGTGATTAATTGATTATTAAAATAATTGTTTATGGCAGCCCTACAGTTGACAGACTTTCTTTTAAGACATGCTAGGCTTCTTTATAAATAAATGAAATGTAGAGAATGAGTTCAGGTCACAGGAGCATTAACCACTTTAGGTTTAGTGTGAAGGGTCAGGGTAAGGCTATAGAAATGACTAAAGTGCTATAAAGTGTGTGTTAGTGTGTGTGTGAGAGAGAGAGAGATTATGGGAGAGAGGGAAGTTTGTTTTAAGAAGTGTTGCGTGTGTAGGAGGGAGTGGTGTTCAGGAAGTGGAGGTGGTGCAACAGAGCTGGAGGGAAGAGGACGTCCATATATGAGCAGATGTCTACAAAACAGGATGGAGGACGTTCATCAGAGCCATGTCCTCCATCCTGGGATCTCCCTGGGGCGTGGCAATAAGAAGCAGTAAATGTGCAAACGTCCTCCTACATGTATAAACACACACCCAAACATCTGAATCAATCTGACACACAAGCCTCCCTTTCTTCAGCAAACAACCTCGGTGAAACCTTTCTGTTGTGGAGTTGTCACTACAAACAGCTGTGGGAAGTCAACGGGGTCATGGCAAAACTAATTATTTCCATCATACACAAGCTGCCTTTTGTTTCTGCTAACTCTACACAATAACCAGATGCCTGGTCAATTAGTAGCACACCTGCAACATGAGCTAAAACAGCCTTAACTCAAAAAAAAAAAAAACTGGGTCTCTGTTTCTCTCTCATGCTTTACTGTTTGAAAGCTGAGTCAGCGTTCCCTAGTTTAGTTTAATTTATTATCATTAATTTACTATCGTTAAACTATCATCATTTTTTGCAATTTAAAAACTTCTGCATAGTTAGTGCTATTTTGGCCACAATCAAAATGGAGGAGATGGGTCCAAAAGTTTGACCTTGTGTTCTCTACAGAAATACAGTAAGGTCTCTTTAATTTATTCAAAACATTGTTCTGTTTGAACTTCACTTCTTCATATTTGATCAGTTTGTCTTCTTATTTAGCTGTTTTAATTGTTCAGACTTTTGTTGCAATAAGCTTACAGATTGCCATTAGTTATATGGTTTTTAGACTGTTGCTACTTTTAGTTTCTAGTTAATCTTTTGCTACATTTAGCTTTTAGATTGCATTTTATTATTTGGTTTTTACACTGTTGTTACGTTTAGCTTCTAGCCAGGCTTTAGGCTACTCTTTAGCTAGCTTTTTGCTACTTTTAGCTCATAGATTGTTTTTTGTTGTGGCTGTTGCTAYTTATAGCTTTTAGCTAGTGTTTTGATTATATAAGCTAGTGTGTTGCTACCTTTGGCTTTTAGTTTCTAGCWAGACTTTAGCTACTGTTTCGCTAGCCTTTTGCAACTTTCAGTTTTTAAATTGCAATTTGTTGCTTTTGACTTTTACATAGCCTGTTGCTACTTTTAACTAATAGCTATAGCCTTTAGCTACTTTTAGCTTTTAATTTGCTTTTATGTTTGGCTTTCAAACAGGTTGTTGCTACTTTTAGCTTCTAGCTAGGCTTTAATTACCCTTCAGCTACTTTTAGCTTCTAGCTAGGCTTTAACTACCCTTTAGCTACTTTTAGCTAGGCTTTAACTAGCTACTTTTAGCTTTTAGATTGCCATTTGTTGTTTTTGCTTTTAGATAGGCTCTTGCTACTTTTAGCTTTTAGCTAAACTTTTAGCTTCTAGTTGGCATTTTGATGCTTTTAGCTATTTTTTTTAGCTTTTGAACTAACCTTTTGCTGCTTTTAATCTGTTTTACTTCTAACTGAAGAGGCAGAAAATGTACAGCATGTCAAAGACTGCCATCATGTGGTGACTTTAATTACTGATAAATACAAAGAGGTCAAAGTTTAACTGTTAGAAATACTGTATATATTTTCACTCAACTCTGCCTGAAATATTCTTTCACATCCCAGCCTCCATATTCTATCATGTAGTATCATTCACTTCCTGTTTTACCTCAAAGATTACCTCCTGCAGTGCATTAGGGGTAAAAATTATTATTGATAAAAAAAACATTTATATGAAACGTTTGTTTGTTTGTTTGTTTGTTTGTTTGTTTGTTTGTTTGTTTGTTTGT